TTCACTCAGCAATCACTCTTTCCAGTACAGTTTTGGTTTTAAAGTTCAGCCTGCTGACATATGGGTCCATCCACCCTAAACATCAGGTATCTACAAAAATCTATTTCTTTGTATTTAAAGTGTCTGTAAAATTCTGTGCTATCTATGTATTTTTACATTTGTATTTTTATTGTTAATAATTACAATACAGTTTTCATAGCAAAACCCCTGCTATTTAGAAGTAATCTAACAAATTTGACTAAGACTGATTAGAAAAAATTGAGCTAATAGTATATGGGCTTGGAACTGTAGGCAAACAAAGAAAACAAAATTTATCTATTTGTATGTAGCTTAAACTGCAGACACAACTTAAAAATAAAACATATTGTCTTTTTCTTTAGACATGTTGAGTGCAATCAAACTATAATATACAATCACTTTTTCTCATTCAACCATTATTTAGACAGATAAGTCACATTGAGCCTAGCAGACTCATTTACAAGTGAGATCTGTTTAGACAGACAAAAAGTAATGAAACTGGACAACATGTAGGAATTGGAGGCGAAAAAATTCCATCAGACTCTTTCTTCTTGGCTGAGAAGAAAAACTCTGATATTAAAAAACCCCTCGCACAAACAAGCACATAGTGACGTAGACATTCTGCAGAGGGGGGGAGACGACGAGAGCGGTGAGCAATGTTCATAGACGCTCTCGAGGGCACTGTAAGAGTTCTGATAAGGATGTAATAATCAGCCAGTGTCCTCCGGTGATATCCGTAAACATTCTCGAGGTATGTCTTGGAATGGCCAAGAATAACTTCTATGAGAATCCAAGAGTTCTGAAATTATGACACAATGTTTATTCAGCTAGTTTCTTCTGGTTATCAGGTGGAAATTCCTCAGGGAGGGGGTGGTGAGTGTCAGATCACATGTTCTCCAGGTGAATTCAGATAAGATGACCTTCAAGGCCAGCCAAGGGAGACAAATTCAGATAAACACACAGTTGTTTTGGGGACAGACAGAACTTAATGACATCTACCTTGAGTTTGTGTTGGTCCACTCGGTTCTGAAATGGCCAAATTACATGGCCACACCGATGGAACGTGACTGAGCAAAATTCCCGAGATCTGATCCATTCTGCCCAAAGCATTTGGGTCTGGGTACTCGAGGCACGAACCAAGCCATCATAAAGGCAAGCAGCTTGATCGGGTCCAAATTTGCTGCTGACAACTTCCTTGATTGTTGATCACCTCAGCAAACAGCCAAATCCAAAAAGCAGGAACCAGTTATCGTAAATTCAATTAAATATGCATCCTTAAAATCCACAAATGGCAGAAGAGATAGACACATCATCACGTCTTCCATGTCGATGAGATACCCAGCTGCATGTATGCCAACAGGACAAATCGGCCCGCCTAAAGCCTGTCTTCTCTTTGAAGAAATGTTATCAATTGTGTGGAGGGACCAACTGATCAAAACATGTCCATAATTGTGGTTCAGAAGATATGCAAGAGAGGCTCAGAAGCAGTTTCACAGACAAACAGAGCAGCAAAGCAAATCGGAGAGGGAGGGGAAGGGAAAAGCATCCAATCTCAGCAAGAGCAAGTGGTGGAAGGCACTCTATCATGAATTGTCATTCTGTGTCTATAATCTCAGCAGAAGAAATTTAAAACAATTGTCAAGCCCTAAGTAGAGTTTTGGTCCATTTTCTAAAAATCTTCTAAGAGGTTATTTGTCAGTGGTGGTTGCTCCATAGGAGCAGGTGGGGCAGAGCCTCAATTAAAATAACTATTAGCCCCACAAAGTAGTCCCCCCTTATAAATAATGTAAATTACTTATTTACTGAGCTTGCTGTGTATTGGTTTGTTCTGTGTTGTTCAACTGTTTAGACAATTTTAAGTGGAGTTTAAAATTATTTTTTAGGGATTCTTCCTCAGTTATTTACTTAGCGTTGTGGGGCAGTGCCATTCAACGACCTGCATTCGTCAAGCAAATCCGAATGTGCGGCCAGTGAACTGAACTGGCAGGTCCAATAGTTTAATTTGGGACGTCTGATTTTATGCCCTGTAGACATATTCAGCTAGTATTAGCTCGTTGATACACTTCTACCTAGACCTGATGTGAGCTCAAACCCAGGATTAGCTGCACTGAAGCCTGCTGAGACCAACAGTGGAGATATTCTGTTTAAATCTGTTTGGAGCAGACAGAGGGGACCAGAACAGAAAACTGAGAACAGAGGAAAGTTAAACAGGAAATTTTAATCACATGGTAGAACATTATTTAAACATTATTTATTTGAGCGTGCATCAAGATACTATTTAAACAGTTCTGTGACTCCTGTGGGTGTGGCTGTGGTGGATCAGTGGTTGAAGCAGTGGTCTGGTAACTGAGTGTTTTTGGGTTCAATCACCACTTGAACCTTCTATTGGATTCAACGATAATATACTGTATTATCATCATTGTTCACTTTTAAATTATCTTAGAGTTACTTCATAAAACTTGTTTTTCCCAATTAACTGTTTTAATCTGCAAGATTATTTTGGAATTATTGTTTTAAATCAAACTAGAAATCCAATTCAGAAAACTGTGCTACTGTCGGCTGGGTGTGGGAGGCATTCGTTTCTCTGATTGATTAGACAGGACTATTTTTCACGAGACAACCTCAACCCAAGGGGGAGATAAAAGGCAAATCTTTGTAGACACACACACACACACGCACACACATGCACGCACACACACACACGCATGCACTCACAAACACACACGCATGCACTCACACACACACACCAACCAATAAATTAAATACTAAGCAACATATATCTGTTGTTTATTCACAGAAAATGTAACGTAATTTGTAAAAATTTGTGTGGTTAGTTATTTAGAAAATGAATGTCCACCCCACTAATATTTTTGCTCAGGAGCCTCCATTGTTATTTGTCAAACGTGAAGACTGGACTTGAGACAAAAGTTTTAAAGGAAAAGTCAAGTGGTAGTTTTCTGGAAACATGCGGACAATTTAAAAACTCAACACTGTCCACTCTGTCCTGGGTTTGGATTGTCCCTTAGTGACAGTTATGTTAAATGGACTGTACTTATATAGCACCTTTCTATCTTATATGCAAAGCTCTTTACACCACAATCTGTGCCCTCGTTTAACTATTCATACAGCACTCTACTATATCCAGGGCCGGATTTAGGAGGATGGGGGCCCCTGGGCTGGAGTCAGGATGGGGGCCCCTGGGATGGAGTCAATACTGTATATATATATATATATATATATATATATATATATATATATATATATATATATATATATATAGACCAAGGTTTTTACAGAGAACATCTTGAAAAATATGAAGAATAAAATACAGATTTCCATTTATTAATGACACTTCTGCATTCATCTTATCTGGAGGAACTAGAACCACAAACACTGTTGTCTGCCATTGTAAAATAATATTCCCTGACGCTCCTCCCCAATGCGTAAGATGCGTCAAAAGTGGACCAATAACAAGCAAGCATTCAAGATGGACGTTTTCCAGAACAAATTGGAACATTTTTCATCGGTGCTGTCAAAATCATCATAGTCATTGATTAAATTCTGACACTATCCATTCACAAAAACATAAAACATCCTTCGGGGCCCCTGAAATGCCGGGGCCACGGGCTGCAGCCCCTGTAAGCCCCTGCTAAAATCCGGCCCAGACTATATCTATACAAAGCCTAATCAGTGCCTTAGATCACATTCATACACCCATCGAAGGAAATGATGGGGTTCAGTGTCTTGCCCAGGGACTCTTGGGCATGTGACTGCTGGCGGAATTGAACCCCCAACTCTTGCATTGGAAGACGACTGCAGCATTGTTACAACAAAAAACTCCTTGAAGGAATCCAAATCCCCAGCAGTCTTGCATGTCTGAAGCAAAGATTCTGCTTGACCTGTTAGTGCCTGAAGTGTGTGTTTGGGATGACTCTCAGCTACTACCACACCAAGTTTTAGCACAGTATCTGTAAAGCTTGCAGAGGTAAAGACATTTTGGCTTTTGTGACGGTCGATTAGCTGTGACCGCCATCTTGAAAAGGATTCTTATATTTGTTCACTTGAATATGTCTCTCCACTTTTACTAAAGTTTTACTAACCAACATTCAAATAAACATACGCACAGACGCAGTTACAATTAGGTCCACCTGCCAATAAAACCACGTACAAACAGAGTTTAAAGCAATAGTTGCTATCTTTAGAATATATTTAGCAGGTATTTCCATTTATTTTTCAAGAAGACAATGTCAAAGCACATTCTGCAGACATTACAAATCCGTTGCTGAAGGAGAAGATGATATGAGTACCTGACTGGCCTTCCTGCAGTCATGACCTCTCTGCTGCAGAGAATGTGGGGAGAATTTTAAAACAACAAAAAGGCAAGAAGAATATTGAACCTGTAGTTTTCAGTGTTTTCGAATATGTTTTTGAAGTCCACTTTTCCTGTTTGAGATCTTATACTCTGTAGTATTGTAAAGTTGGGGTAGAAATTATTTTAATGAAAAAAAAAAAAAAAAGAATAAACATTTTATTTGAAAACAGAACGCAGATTTAGTAAAAATTGAACATTTTATTGTTTTGCTCTATTCATATATGTATTTTCTTTTGGTTTTGCTTTTATATTTAAAAAAAATCTAATTTTAAAAGATAATACTGGATCACTCAAATATTCTTAATTTTATTTAGCTTTGATAAAGTTCACATTGTAAACTTTGGACCTACATACATGTGTGCACTACTTTGTTTTCAGGTGTTCTGCATGTGTGTGCGCATGACAAAGGCGATATAGATGTCACACTCCTCCCGTTGTGGGAAAAAACTGAACCGACTGGGTAGACTGACACAGTAATATGGAGCAGCTTTCCATCAGCACACAAAATACTCTAGTAACACTTCCGAAATTCATAACATCAAATCAAAAGCGATACCCGTTTGTGCATCTCTCTGTGTGTGTGTGTGTGTTTCAGGTGTATCTTCTATACCTGTTTGTGTGCATGGTCGTAGGAGTTGATGTGGTTGTCAAACTCCTGGTGTCTCAGGTACTGCTTGTCACACAGCTCACAGTAGAAAAGAGACTTCAGATCCTCTGCTGAGCAACCTAAAGCCCTTTCTGTGCATTCCTGGAGGAGGAGAGAGAAAAGATGGAGAGAGAATGAATGGAGGGATTGGAGAAGAAAATCCTGAGAAAGAGAGTGGAGATAGAGGCATAAACGAAAAGGGTTAGAGGAGGCAGGTTGTGGGGGGGTGAAGCGGCTGGAGGGACTGTTAGCCATTTAAAGCAAATCTGCATCCTGGAGACATCAGCTATAATAGCCTCTGCGTGTGCTCTGCATAAAACTCTTAAACGACATCCTATTAAAGCGAGTTGCCTTCTGCTGGAGGGTGGACGGAACCACTGAAGCCTTGTGCTCACGGCAGCCTGAGCTCGGAGACACATTTACCCCCGCCTCAATAATATTAAAGCCATGTGTGTCAGTGCAGTGGCAAATAAGGTGAAGAAGAAATGGCAAGTGATAGACAGGAGACGCGTACAACTAAATTGCACAATTTAGACTTTTTGTGCACCGGTACAAATTGTGCATGGGGAAAGAGAAGTTAAAATATAAAGGTACATAAATCGCACGAGGACAGGCAAATGCGCATGCACTGTGCAAATGGCACCAAGACCTGAGGGAATAAATTGCCTGTCTGCATGCTCACATCAGAAGCTCGTTTTTTTTTTTTTTTTGGAAGTCCAGAAACTTGCACAGTGTTGTATACAATAGATGTGCGCTCTTGCTTGTATATGTGTGAACGTGTGCGTATGTGTGTGTGTGCATTCATGCCATGCTCTGCTTCAGAATGTAATTTCCCTCAGGCTAGGGGCTGCCAATAAACACTATTGAATTCTGTTCTACACTGACATGATGGGAATTTAATTTGAGGTTGTCACTTCTTTCTCTCATTCTACCCTTCTTTCTTTCTTTCCTTTCCTCTGTCCTTCTCCTCCGCCTCTCATGACTTGATTCTGTGCTGTCCCAGACCTTCCCTTTTTGTTGTTACACCCCCCTTTTCACTCTATTACTTTCTCTCTTACTTTATCTCCAATTTTATTTCCTCTATTTGCACTTTTCTTTCCTCCCGGACTATTTTCTCCCCACCCCTCCTGTTAAGTCCTGTTTTTTTTTTTTTTTTTAGAAACAGTGACTTTTTGGCCTCAATTGGCCTCAGTAAAACAGTACGCCTGCAAACAAGAACAGAAGTGAAGAGGAAAAGAGCAGTGCTATCAGATTGCAGGCATGAGGAGGAAATGACCCTTGCCTTGCAAACATCAGTACACACATCAGCACTTTCCCTGCAAGAGTAATAATCATTATCGGCAGCCACTTGTTAAATGCTAAAGCTCCATCCTGGGTGATGTTTTAACTGAACACACACATAATTAGAAAGCCATTGTCTTTCCTGGTCCATCCGTAGGTAGGTGGCTTGTGCACACAATGGGTGAAAATGAGGGGAGGCTGAAGAAAAGCCTGATGGGGCTCTCCTGGACTAAAATCAACCGAGATGGAACTGATATATATCGATTGTGTGACTCCTCGAGTGTGTGCGCCTCCATATCGATCCATCCTGCAAGCTCAAGTCACTTCCAGGAAATGATCCAATCACAGAGAGGTCCCTCCGTTTGAGTTATATGGAGGTGAGGTGATTGAGATAATGAATGCGGCGTGCTTGTCAAGATTAGAGCAGAATTGTGTGGGCACGTGTTTTTTTTTTGTATGTACACATTTCTGTACGCTCACCTCAGGCTAACACTTTCCTCTCAATTCTCTGCCTTCTGTCAGGATAATCGCTTTCAACAATGAAAATCAGAGAGGATACGTAGAAAGAAAAAAAGGAAAAGAAAGTGTGAACACACCAAAGCAGTAATGTCAGTGAGCTCAAGAGCTATTTGTTTGTGACAGAGGCAACCCGAGAAGTCATTCTTCAGTTAGGAACTGAAATCAAACACGAGAACTTTAATTGGCTCGGAGTATTCACGCATTGTATGATTTCTCCCCCCTGACCCCGTGTGCCAACATCTGTAAACTCACAGGAATCCACTTTGAGCGTCCCAACACACAGCCCTACATGCACAGCGACAGACTGTCAGCCTGAAACACCAGAGCCAAATTAATCTAGACCTCAGTTTAAGTCGCCAGCTCAGTTCTGTTTGTCGAGTAATTACATCTGATGCATTCGAAGGTCTGCAAAGACAAACACTGTTGCTTGTTTTGGTGATGACTTGCAAATACAGTAATACTTTATTTTTCATGCTTATAATTACAGTTCTAATTACCTGTTTGTGGAAGAAATTCTATTTTTTATTTCTAAAAAATATGCGTTATTGATCATACCTAACTACTGTGACTAGTTAGAGTAATAATTAATAATAATTAGTTTGTAATAATTTGTAATAATCAGTTTAGGATGATAAGTAAAAAGTAGTTTGAGCTTTGCTGGGAATGAACTGGTCAGTCAGCGTTGGTGAAGATGCATCGTAAAATAAAGACTCATTAGTAAATTACTGTCTAAATGTTTGAAGCATTTTTTTTTCTATCCTGATGCATGCTCAATAATCCAGGTAGAAAAATGTAAAAAAGTTAAATCTGGTCCTCTGGACATTCAAAAAAAC